GGAAGGATTTCGTCTTGCGCGCGCGAATGTCCACTTTACCTTATTTTTTGCTAGGGATTCTTGAAGTTTGGTTATGTTTGAACAAGAAATGTCATTTTCTATTGTTTTTGGCAAGGGAAAGCGGATTACAACAAAACAACCGGATCCTGTACACACCCTCTTTTCTGAGGCTTCCTCACGAAAATGATGAAAATGTAGCTGCGGCCTAGGCGGCGCAGGGGGGGCGCGCACCAGGGGGCCCAACAATAATTATTCTTTAGAAAAAATAATGTTCAACAACAACAACAACAACAACAACAACAACAACAACAACAACAACAACAACAACAACAACAACAATTACTAGCACGTGGGGACACACCGTACTCACCAGTGCCAGGGTTTTCATAGGAGGCGGGCAATACCCCCACTTTGTGGGGGGGCCGTTTCAAGCTCTACCAAATTTCCAAACGACTCTTCGCCACCACCCACACCCAGCTTCCCGCCCTATGACGTTCGGACACTTCACTTCGTGGCCTGCGGACGACCGTGGCTACTATTCAGGGCCCCGCGGCCGACGACGACGGCGTGCGCGCGCAAAAAACGAATGTGTCCCGCATGGTATTATTTGACAGGGATGATGGCCCTGGCAGGTGCGCAACCGTTGTCGCAAAGTTCGAAAAAGTTGCTCGCAAAAGCCCGTTTGACAGAAATGTTTAAAAAGTGTTGGTTTTCCTACGAATCCGCAAGAGCGCGCGGGATGAGATTTTGACATTTTTTTGTTGAAAAAACCATTGGTTTTTTGATGTTTTTATGTTAAAATCGCTCCGAACACTAAGCTATTGGAAGGATTTCGTCTTGCGCGCGCGAATGTCCACTTTACCTTATTTTTTGCAAGGGATTCTTGAAATTTGATTATATTAGAACAAGAAATGTCATTTTATAGTGTTTTTTGCAAGGGAAAAACGGATTACAACAAAACAACCGGATCTGGATCACATCGTTTTACCTGAGGCTTCCTCACGAAAATGATGAAAATGTAGCTGCGGCCTAGGCGGCGCAGGGGGGGCGCGCACCAGGGGGCCCAACAATAATTATTCTTTAGAATCAAATAATGTTCAACAACAGCAGCAACAACAACAACAACAAAAAGGCTGCGCCCAGATCTCACGGGAGACCAAGGCCCCTGCCAGCCCAGCGCCCACCCACCACCCGCGGGAGGCGGGCGCGCCGTCACTGGCGATGCCTGGCGCGCTGGCCGCCAGGCCCGGGCCTGGCACCAGGCAGGCGGCCTCGGCGGCCGCCGCCGACGCCCACGACGCCGCACGCCGCCGCCGGCGCCGCACACCGCCGACTCGGGCGCCGAAGGCCGCCGCCGCTGACAGCGACGGCCACGGCGACGGGGCCGACGGCGCCGGTGCCGGCGCCGGCGACGGCGACGACGGCGACGGCGACGACGACGGCGACGGCGAGAAAGGGCGGCGACGACGGCGGCGGCGATGGGCGGCCGCGGCGACGCTCCCCGTGGCCTCCCGAGGCCTCCCTCTGAGCCCCGAGGAGCTTCCCCGAGCCTCCCAGGGCCTCCCGGGGGCGCCCGGGGGGCCAGAGAGCCTCCCAGGCGTGCCAGGGCCTCGGAGGGGCGCCCGAGGGCATCCCCGGTGGCTGGCCAACCAGAGCAAAGCAAGTCTCGCGCAGCGGCAGCAAGAGCTGGACGAGAAGGGCGAGAGCGAGAGAGAGAGGCGAAAAGGGCGAGACGAAAAGGGCGAGAGTGAGACGCAAAGGGCGCAAGAGAGAGAGAGAGAGAGAGCGCGGGACGATGGAGGGCGACGGAGAGGGAATCGATTTAGGTCCTCCTACGAGCGGGCTTTGGAAGAGAAATGCCAAACAAACAAACAAAGAAAACAATCAGAATCAAAAGAGCAAGAAAATTGATACCATACTATTCGTCACTGCTCTTGAACACTCCTTCTGCAGAGGGACATGCCCGACTTGAGAAGAGATGGCCCAGATGCCACTGCCAGTGCAGCGTCGAGTGCGGAAGTACAGGGCTCAAGCAAGGAACGGCCACGGAAAGGATGCGAATCAGTGGCACGCCGACGCCCCGCGAACGCACGGCACCCACGCGCCCGAAGGGTCTCCCGACGCCGAACCGCCCAGCCGACGACGACGACGACGACGACGACGACGACGACGACGACGACGACGACGACGAGGACTAGGACAATGCCGAAGGCCAGCCAAGGCCAGCGAAGGTCGCCGAGGGCTGCCCAGGGCCGCCTGGGAGCCCGCGCGACAACGCCCGAGGCGCGGGCGCTCCGTGCACGCAGCTCCGTGCAGCCAGCCGCTGGGGTCGCCGCCGCCGTCTCCGCCCCCCGCCGGCGAGGACGCCGCCGACGCGGACCGAGCGAGACTGGCGTCGATCGAGCGCGACGAGCGCGACGGCGACGAGCGCGTCCACCCGAGGCGCGGGCGCTCCGTGCAGCCCCGCCAGCGCCACGAGGGCCGCGACCGCGCAGAGCCGCAGGCGCGCCGGCCGGGCTGGCCGCGCCGGCTCGGGCTCCATGGCGCGGATGCCGGCTCGGCCGCTCGAGGGGGTGGCTGGAGCAAGCGGCCACGGGCCCCGATCCCCGACGTCACATGCTTTTTGTTCGGTTGATCGGCCTGTGGGGCCCGTCGTCGGGCCCCGGGACCATTCGAAACGGAGCTGGGACCAAAAGCTACCCCCGGGGAGGCGGTCGGGACTTCGGGGGCCCTGGGTGGAGAAGAAAACACAGCGGCGGATGTCAGGGTGTGCGCCCTACCAATGCAAGTTGGACTTCTGAAAGGCTGGGGCTGGGCTTCAGGATCTGACAGGTGCCTGCGGCCGAATGGCAACCAGCGGGGAAGTCCACTACCCCAGCGCCGATTGGACCCGCAAGTGTAGCGTTCGCAACTGGTCGCAGAAGGACGTGGGGGAAGGTGGCGAACGGCTGGCCCCACCCCCGTCCCCCCCCCAAAAAAAACACTTATGACCTCTGGAGGCCCACGGTATCGATACCGTAAAACACGACGTCGGGGTCTGGATACACCAATCCAGGGCCCAGGATCGGCCTGGCAACGGTATTTGTGAAGAGCTGGCGTCCTTACCCCCTCCCTGCTCCTTCTCATCCTCTTCCCACTATCCCACCCAGCATCCTCTTCCACCGCTACCTCCCTTTTCTCGACCGTCTCCTCCTGCCCCCCTCCAGCCTCCCCTCCGCGCATCCCCCACCCTGGCTCCTCCTCGTCCTCCCTCGCCTCCTCCTCCTCCTCCTCCTCCTCCTCCTCCTCCTCCTCCTCCTCCTCCTCCTCCTCCTCCTCCTCACCACTCAAGACCCTGATGCTTAAGAAATGACAACAGTTTCACCGGTGAAGGCGGGTCGCTTCCAGCCTGTGGCTCTCGAATTAGCGCCGCGCACACTCGCTGGCGCTTCACGGCTAGAGGGCGGCTCGTTTTCAAAATGTGGCTCTCGCCGTAGCGCCGCGCACATTCGTTCTAAAGCATGCAAGGGGCTTCACGGATTGAGAGCGGGTGATTTTCAAAATGTGCCTCTCGTCTGGGCGCCGCGCACATTCGTAGCAAACAGTTCAAGAGCTTCACGGATTGAGGGCGGCTTGTTTTCAAAATGTCGCTATCGCCGTTAGCACCGCGCAGACTCGATCTAAGGAATTGCAAGACACTCACGGGCTGAGGGCGGCTCGGTTTCAACATGTGGCTCTCGCCTTAGCGCCGCGCACAATCGTTCAAACGAGCTTAACGGATTGAGGGCGGCTCGCTTTCAAAATGCGGTTCTCTCTTCAGCGCGGCGCACAATCGTTCTAAATATTTGCAAGAGTGCCACTGGCTCTCAGGGCGAACGTACCAGAGATGGTGCTTTGGAACGGAACAAAATTGTCAGGGCCCAAAAGTTACGTTGATTGGCGGTGTCAAGATCCCAGGAACGATGTTCTGGCAAGATTCAGGATCGCCAAGAAGTAGCAATCAGATGAATTCATGGCGCTGAAGTCCTGTGAATGGTGTTCTGGCACGCTTCAAGATGTTCACACGGTTGCGCCCCAACGGAGCATCTCCTCAGTGAAATGACCCCCTGTATGGGATCTACGAAGAGGGATCTTGGAGGGAGGGTGTATTTCAACATCGTTGATGAGTCTTCGGTTTACACTGGTCCTCCTCCTCCTTCTCCTCCTCCTCCTCCTCCTCCTCCTCCTCCTCCTCTCCTCCTCCTCCTCCTCCTCCTCCTCCTCCTCCTCCTCCTCCTCCTCCTCCTCCTCCTCCTCCTCCTCCTCGAAGCTGAGATGTCGATGTCGTTGTCGTCGTCGTCGTCGTCATCGTCGTCGTCGTCGTCGTCGTCGTCGTCGTCTCGTCGTCGTCGTCGTCGTCGGCGCCGCCGCCACGAGTGCCATTCCCTCGTGGCGTAGCCCTTCCTGGTCAACTTCGTGGCCCTCCCTGGCCCTGGCCTGGCCCTCCCCTCGCTCCCCCCGCGTGCCCCTCGCTCGGCTGCGCGCAAGAGCGGCCCGTGGTGCGCAGCCTCCGAGGGCCGCCAGGGAGGGGTGCTGGTGTTGGGGGGGGAGAGACTTATTACGGGCGTGCTTGCTAGATTTTTCGGGCCCGGGGACCCTCACGGATCGATGCGGCTCGACAAAAAAACGCAGAAAGACAAGGTCCGGGGCTCCGGTGGTGACTTTTTTTATGATGTTTCGCCATTTTTCTGCAACGTCGGATCTCAGGGGAGGCGGGGGGAAACCCAAGCGCGCACGCCGAGTGCCGGCTGGGGGCGCCCCTGTGGGCAGGCGCACCACTGGCCGTGCTCACTCTTGCGCGCAGCCGACTCGTGCCCCCTCGGGCAGGCGACTCCTGGCCTCCCCAGGGACAGCGCCCGCGGCGACACCGACAGCGCGCCCCTGCCAAAGTAGACAGGAACGGGTGCCGATCGTCGTCCCTGTTCCTTCTGTACCCAGACGTGCGACGTCCTGGTTTTTCCCCACCATCCTGTGGTGTTGGGTCCTCGTTTTGAAGAGACGGTCCCCGCGTTCCTCTCCTCTCCTCCTCCTCCCCCTCCTTCCTACCGTCCGCATGCGTCCCCCCACCAGGTACAGCGCTTCGTGGCCCCATAGGAAGCTCCACCGAAGGCCCCAGTGCCACCGTCCACATGCGTCCCCCCACTCAGTACAGCGCTTCGTGGCCCCATAGGGAGCTCCACCGAAGGCCCCAGTGCCACCGTCCACATGCGTCCCCCCCACTCAGTATAGCGCTTCGTGGCCCCATAGGGAGCTCCACCGAAGGCCCCAGCGCAACCGTTCACATGCGCCCCCCCCACTCAATGTAGCGCTTCGTGGCCCCATAGGGAGCTCCACCGAAGGCCCCAGCGCAACCGTTCACATGCGCCCCCCCCACTCAATGTAGCGCTTCGTGGCCCCATAGGGAGCTCCACCGCCCAGGCCCCATGCCACCGTCCACACATTCCCCCCCACTCATACAGCGCTTCGTGGCCCCATAGGGAGCTCCACCGAAGGCCCCAGTGCCACCGTCCACATGCGTCCCCCCCACTCAGTACAGCGCTTCGTGGCCCCATAGGGAGCTCCACCGAAGGCCCCAGTGCCACCGTCCACATGCGTCCCCCCACTCAGTACAGCGCTTCGTGGCCCCATAGGGAGCTCCACCGAAGGCCCCAGTGCCACCGTCCACATGCGTCCCCCCCACTCAGTACAGCGCTTCGTGGCCCCATGGAGCTCCACCGAAGGCCCCAGTGCCACCGTCCACATGCGTCCCCCCCACTCAGTACAGCGCTTCGTGGCCCCATAGGGAGCTCCACCGAAGGCCCCAGTGCCACCGTCCACATGCGTTCCCCCCACTCAGTACAGCGCTTCGTGGCCCCATAGGGAGCTCCACCGAAGGCCCCAGTGCTACCGTCCACATGCGTCCCCCCCCACTCAGCGCAGCGCTTCGTGGCCACACAAGGAGCTCCACCGAAGCCCCCAGTGGGACCGTCCGAGTGCGTCCTGAAACATCCAACTTGGCAGTTTCACCCACCAACCATAGCGTCTCGTGGCCCCACAGGGAGCTCCACCGAAGGCCCCAGTTCCACCGTCCGCATGCGTCCCGCACACCCAATGTGGCAGTTTCACCCACCCAGTGCAGCGCTTCGTGGCCCCACAGGGAGCTCCACCGAAGGCCCCAGTCGGACCGCCCGCAAGCGTCCCGAAACACCCATTGTGGCATTTTCACCCACCCAGCCGAAAATTTCGTGGCCCCGTTGGGAACTCCACCGAAGGCCCCAGTGCCACCGTCCGCATGCGTCCCGAAAACCCAACGTGGCATTTTTACCCATCCAATACAGCGCTTCGTGGCCCCTTAGCGAGCTCCACCGAAGCCCCCAGTGGGACCGTCCGCATGCGTCCCGGAAGCCCAATTTGGCATTTTCACCCACCCAGTTCAGCGTTTCGCGGCCCCATAGGGAGTTCCACCGAAGCCTCCAGTGGGACCGTCCGCATGCGTCCCGGAAGCCCAATGTGGCATTTTCACTTACCCAGTACAGCGTTTCGTGGCCCCATAAGGAGCTCCACCGAAGCCCCCAGTGGGACCGTCCGCATGCGTCCCCGAAACCTTACTTGACACACCACTCACCCAGAACAGCGTTCCCCCCCACCCAGTACAGCGCTTCGTGGCCCCATAGGAAGTTTCACCGAAGAAGATGTTCACAATTGCGGTACCCACAACTGCATATGGTTGGGCCCCTCGCCAGGATCATTTCAATGCGGCATCCCAGGAAGTCCAGACCCTTTCCCCAGGGCCGGTTTTTCATCCTGAGTCGTCTTTGGACGGCCCCGGGGCCCGGCGAGGGCCCCCAGGGGCCGAAAGTAACGCAAAACGTGCCATCCTGATTTTTGTCTGCGACGCGACCACGTCTGGGCAGTCTTGCTGTGCCCAGTTCGATCTCGCACCCCCCGTTCGGGCCCCCCGGCCGGCCGAAGAGCGCTCGGCCGCTGCCGGAAGGGGCGCGCTCTCGCGTGCGCTCCCCTCGATCCTGATGTGGCTCCCCGGCGGGTGCCCCTGGCGGAGGGCGGCAAGCGGAGGAGGGCGCAGCGGCAAGCATGCCACGGACCCCTTTCGGGTCGAGAACAAAATCGCGACGGAGAGTGACTTCTAGTTTTCGGCCCCTCGGGGTCCCTGTCGGGCCCCGGGGGGGGTCAAAAAACGACTCGGCATGAGAAGCTAATCCTGGGCAAGGGGTCTAGACCTCCAGAGGAAAGGGGCCCAGGGACACACAAAGAAATACACACGAATCCCAGGATTCCCAATATTTGTCAGTATTTTCTAGGTTTTCGTCCTCTCCCCCCACACTTCCCATATTTTTCATATTTTCGTGGGGGTCGACGATGACTTGCGTCTGTGTGTGTATGGTTTTTTCCCTCCCGAGTCTGGAGCTGCGGCTCGGCATCCAGAGAATGGCACCGCGAAACAGTGGGTGCCACACCCCGCAGCGACGACTCGGCCTGGCGTGCTGCCCAGGGCTGCGCGCTGCAGGGAGGGGGGAAATCCGTTCCTCGACTTCGGCCTCGGGGGGGGGGGCGGGCCGGGCTCGGGCCTCGGGGCCGTTGGGAACCGACCCGGGGCGAGAAACCGACGAGGACAGGCCCTGGAACGCATCCAGTGAATCATTTTGGCACATTTGCTTTGGAGGGGAAGGAGGAGGAGGAGGAGGAGGAGGAGGAGGAGGAGGAGGAGGAGGAGGAGGATGCGGGAGGAGGAGGAGAAGAGGAGGAGAAGGAGGAGGAGGAGGAGAAGGAGGAGGAGGAGGAGGACGAGGACAAGGACGAGGAGGAGGACAAAAAAGAAGAAGACGAAGAAGAGAAGGAATGATAAGAAGAAGATGAAGAAGAGGAAGGAGGAGGAAGGAGGAGGAGGATGAAGAGGAAAAGGAGAGCATGTGAGAATACATGCGCGGTCAAAGGCATCCATTTCCTGACGTACACTTTCTCATTCTGCCAACGTCAGATGAAGGAACATGTGGTTCCCTTGGGGGAGCCGGGCAGGGGTCCCTCCTTCTCCTCCTTCTTCCCCTTCCCGTCTCCTCATCCCTCTCTTCTCTTCTCCTCCGCTCCTCCGCTCCTCCTCCTCCTCCTCCTCCTCCTCCTCCTCCTCCTCATCCGCCGCCTCTTCCTCCTCCTCGTCCTCCTCCCTTCCCCTTCCTCATCTCTCTATTCACTTCTCTCTCTCTCTCTCTCTCTCTTTCTGTTTCCGCACTGTCCACCAGAGCCCTGGACCCCCTTCCGTTGACGAAGGACATCCCGTCCAGCGAGATGTCCGTGCGCTTCCGGCCGTACGACTGGATTGCGTCGAACTCCCTGGCACACTCGCTCGAATGCGGCGCCGTCGGTGGAGGCCCCTGCTCCAGCTCCTCCTCCTGCTTCTACGATTTCTCCGAATTCCTCCAGCTACATCCTCCGCCTACTGCTCCTCTTTTCTCCTCCTGGTCCTTCCTCATCCTCCACAACTGTTGTTCTGAAAAGATACTCCTCCCCCTGTCGCACACCCAGACGTGTCGGCAGCGCGGGCCCAGCAGTGCGCCTGAGACTTCCTCACCAGTTACGATCCTGAAGCTTGAAGTTCGCCACAGTTCCATAAATGGAGGGCGGGTCGGTCTCAAAATATGGGTCTCGCTTCAGCGCCGCGCACAGTAGTCTTAAAGATTGTAAGAACTTCAGGGAGGGAGGGCGGGCCGTTCTCGAAATGTCGTCCTCACCTTAGCGTCGCGCACATAAGCTTGCCGCAATTTCGAAGACGAATGGCGGCTCCTCTCCAAAAAGGGGCTCTCGCACTAGCACCGCGCACAGTCGTCTTGAAAGCGCACCACAATGTCCAAGATTCGTACGGCTTCCAGGAACGGCGTTCTACTAAGAATTAGGATTGTCCGGACGCGACACTCACATTGATTCGTGGTGTTGAAATCCAAGCAATAATGATCTGACACAGTTTGGGATTGTCAGGACGCAAGAGTCAATTAGTGGCGCTGGAATCCCAGGAATTGTGTTTCGAAGAACGGCTGTGGAATTTTAGACGGTTGCCTTCCAATGGGGCACTTCCTGCAATGAAGGTAAAAACGTATAGGGACATCTGCAGAGGGAACTTGGAGGGAGGGTTTAGTACAACATCTGTGATGCATCTCGGGTTTACACTGGTCCTCCTCCTCCTCCTCCTCCTCCTCCTCCGACTCCTCCCTTCTGCTGCTGCTCCTCCTCCTCCTCCTCCTCCTCCTCCTCTTCCTCCTCAGCATCGTTATCATCATCAGCCCCATCATCAGCAGCAGCATCATCAGCATCATCAACGTCATCATGATCAGCATCATCATCAGAATCAGCATCATCATCAACAGCATCATCATCATCATCATCATCATCATCATCATCATCATCATCAGCATCATCATCATCATCGGCAGCATCATCATCATCGTCAGCATCACCCGCATTACCATCATAAGAATATTCATCATAACCATTATCATCAGCAACATCACCATCATCAGCATCATCGTCATCATCAGCATCATCATCAGCACCATCAGTATCGTCGCATTCATCGACACCCTCTTCACCCATATCATCAGCATCGTCACCATCATCGTCAACAGCATCATCGTCAGCATCAGCAACGTCACCATCAACATCATCGCCGTTGTCATCATCAGCATCATGATCGGCATCAGCGTCAGCAGTCCCATCATCATCAGCATCATCGTCATCATCAGCATTATCAGCATCAGCGTCGTCATCATCATTATCATCGTCATCAAAATCATCAGCATCGTCATCGTCAGCAGCATCCGCAGTATCATCGTGTATCTGCTCATCCTCCTCCTACTCATCCTCATGGTCTTCACCCCGCCTACACCTCCTCCTCCTCCTCATCATCATCCTCATCCTCCTCCTCCCCATCCTCCTCCTCCTCGTCCTCCTCCTCCTCCTCGTCATCCTCCTCGTCCTCCTCCTCCTCTTCCTCCTCCTCCGCCGCCGCCTCCACCTCCTCCTCCTCCTCCTCCTCCTCCTCCTCCTCCTGTCACTTCTCCCCCCTTCCCCCTCCCCCCGCCCTCCTCCTCCTCCCCCGCATCCTCCTCCTCCTCCTCCTCCTCCTCTCCTTCTCCTCCGCCTCCTCCCTCCACCTCACACCCTTCTCTCTCTACTCCATCAATTTCTCCATCTCGTCCTCCTTCTCTGCCTCTTCCTCCTCCACCTCCTCCTCCTCCTCCTCCTCCACCTTCTCCTCCTCCTCCTCCTCCTCCTCCTCATCCTCTCCCTCCTCCGTATCCTCTTCCTCCTCCTCCCCATCGCATTCCTCCTCCCCCTACTCCGTCTCCGCCTCCTCATCATCGTGTTCCTTTTCCTCCTCCTCCTCCTCCTCCTCCTCCTCCTGCTCCTCCTCCTCCTCCTCATCCGCCTCCTCCTCCTCGTCCGCCTCCTCCTCCTCCTCCTCCTGCTTCGCCGCCGCCTCCTCCTCATCGTCGTCCTCCTCCGCGTCCTCCTCATATGCATCCTCCTCCTCGGCATCCTCCTCATCATCAGCAGCATCACCACCACCACCATCATCATCAGCTGCAGCAACAGCATCAGCATCGTCATCATCATCGTCGTCATCATCATCAGCATCAGCATCAGCATCATCAGCATCATCAGCATCATCATCATCATCATCATCATCATCAGCAGCAGCATCATCATCAGCAGCAGCAGCAGCATCAGCAGCATCAGCATCATCAGCAACAGCATCAGCAGCATCAGCATCATCAGCAGCATAATCATCATCATCATCATCATCATCATCATCATCATCATCATCATCAGCATCATCATCATCATCATCATCAGCAGCAGCATCATCAGCAGCAGCAGCATCATCATCGTCATCATCGGTACCATCAGCTTCATCAGCATCAGCAGCATCGTCATCAATATCAGCATCAGCAGCATCCGCATCATCAGCATCATCAGCGTCCTCATCATGATAATCCGCAGCATCATCATCATCATCATCATCATCATCATCATCATCATCATCATCATCATCAACAGCGGCAGCATCATTCCCCTCCTCCTCCTCCCTATACTGCTCCGTATCATCCTCCTCATCAGCGTCCTCCCTATCCGTCTCATCGTCCGCGCCCCCCTCATCATCATCATCATCATCATCATCATCATCACCACCATCATCATCATCATCATCATCATCATCATCATCATCATCATCATCATAATCATCACCATCATCATCATCATCTTCATCATCATCATCATCATCATCATCATCATCATCATCATCATCATCATCATCATCATCATCATCACCGTCTTCATCCGCATCATTATCATCGTCAGCATCATCCTCCTCATCGATCTCCTTCACATCCTCCTGCTCCTGATCCTCATCCTGCTCCTCCTCGTCCTCCCTATTCCTCCTCCTCCTCCTCATCCTCCTCCTCCTCCTTTTCATCCACCTCCTCCTCCTCCCCCCCTCCCTCCTTCTCCTCCCCCGCCCTCCGCCCCCCGCCTCCTCGATCCCTGCCGGGATGCCGCAGTCCGCCGTATGCGCCGAGCACCAGTGCTTTTTCACGGGCGCCGAAGTTTCGGACGGCACGTGCACGTACATAGGTGATTGTTCTTCGGTCCTGGGGTCGGCCAGGAGTGGGACGGCCCAAGCGGGCAAGTCCACGTCTCCGTTCGCGGGCTTTTGGCTGGCCCTCCCTCGGCAGGACCAGGCCTACGCTGGCCTGGTTAAACAAAAATCCCACGTGCACGTCGTCGAGCAGCCCGCCTCCGAAGCGGAGTGGGCTGCCTGGCTCAATGACCAGGCCGATAAGGCCGCGAAGTTAGGAGCTCGCCTCCACAGCACCTCCACCTCCCTCGTCGCCGATCTCGAGGACCGGCTCGCGAGGATGAAGCAATTCCTTCGAGGGGTCGCCCGCGTGCTGTGCACGGGCCCCACCCCGAACCAGGAATGGGCCGACCTGCGCAGGCCGCCCGCCTCTCGCGTGGCAGCCGC